AATATATAGGGTGTGATACAATTTTAATAATTTTGGTAATTTTAATAAAACGTCCTGTCTAACTCTTCCTATAGCAGCTAGTTCTTGGGGGAAACCCTCCCAGTTGAGTAAAATCCGAAGTGTGCCCTGCCTAGGTGACACAGCTTAATTCAAGTGCGCTGGTTTATATAAAACCCGTTCTAGCTGGGTGCCATAAACCTGGGTACGGAGTCCTGCCCGCTGCTTTCTTAAACGTTGTGTCCCAGCTGACTGCCAGCTGAATTAGTGGATTCATAAGCCTTCCCTTGTTCCCCAAAAGAGAGAAAAGCCCCCCGACCTGCCCTAGGTGCAGTGCTGAAGGAAGCCCCGGGGGGGTTGTAGGGCACTGTGCTTTTGCGTTCAGATTCGGCCTCTGTTCCCCCGGCTGGGGTAGGCAGTAGCCGTGCTTTTAATGGTCGTCTGCCCCAAAGTGCCGGCGTCTGGACAAATTTTGACCTTGTATTTAAGTGTGAGGGAGACCCCTCGGCTGCCCCCCACCTCTCTGTAGCAGTTGTTAGGATTAGGTGTAAACGGGGCAGTCTGCGAGAACAGAGGGATGGGGAAATTTAACACAGTGGGAAAAGTAATAATTGGCTTTAGCTCATTTTGGGAGATTCTTCACTAAATATCAACAGCCCTACATGGAGAGGTAAAGCAGAGGGGGGAGCTGGTGGCAGGGATAATGTTTGCTCAGGTCCCTTGGGGAGAACTTGGTGCCGGTGGGTGCGGAGGGCCCCATCCCCTTTCTCCCCCCACCGTCGCTGCGCACACGCGGCCCGTCCGTGCTGCGCCAGGGTGCCCAGCAAAGGGGCTGTAGGGAGCTGGTGGGCGAGGAGCCCGCAGCGAGGCTGTCCTCAAAAGCAGGAACGTTATTCCTGCCTCTCTGAACAGAGAGGGCTTGTGCATCCCCATCTCAAACCCCTCATCTTCAAGCCAAGAACCACAATTTGAGCTTATTTCAAGCTCGGGGCGATAGCTGATCACAAAGCTGGGGAACATTTTGCTTCAGAAATCAAGTTTGGGGCTTGATCTCTCACGTATCCAATCCCAGGAGGGGAGGTGAAGGAGCACAGCAGTTAGGAACTCGTCGTGTCACAGTCTTACTGAGCTCCACTTAATCCTCCTGAAGGACGAACCCCGTTCTGAGAGCGCAGAGGGCCTGGCGGGGCGGCGGAGCTGGAGCCTGACGGCGGCTTTGCAGGGTGGGACAGAAGGGATTGGAGTGAAGGTGAAGCAGGGAGTAATGATCAAGCTGGAGAGGCAGGAACTTGGTTTCCACTTCACTTGCTTCCCAAAGTACTGGTTTTGAGGTGGAATGATGGGAAACTGCCAGACGTGGCTGATGAGCCAGTTTGTGTTCCTGGCAAACGGAGGAGATGGCCTTCATGATTTAAAAAAAAAAAAAAAAGCAATGAAATAAATGTCATCACAACATCTGAGTTCCTGAGGCTGGTTTTAGGCAGCTGTGGAACTTAAAGTAACAAAAACCAGGCTGGGTGCAAACCACAGGTAGCTGGAAAAAGTAATAAGTGAATGTTAGGGGGTTCTGAACAAAGGGGCAGCAAAGCACAAGCAAGGGGTGAGAGCTTTCCATTATTCATTTCTGAGAATAAACGTAACCATGGTCTCACTGCAAACTGCTGTTTGCCCACAGCTCTGGCAGTTTGCTACACCCCCTTTTATCAAGGAAAAACCACCCAAAGTCCTTTCCCATGGGCTGGGGGCAGGTGTAGTACAGCCCCCCTTGTTCGGGATTCATCCCAGTTCTGCAGGGAGCATCTCAGCTTGTCTTCAAATAGCTCTTTTTTTGGGGAGGGGATGTGGGGTTTTTATTTTTCCAGTTTGGAGGTTTGGATGTCAAATCAAAATCCGGGTCCGTGAAGTTGGAAGCGGCTCACGTAACCCTGCAGCAGCAGCCGCTTGTCCTGCAGGTGCGTTGAGGGAGCTGGTTCAGAAGCACCGGTTGCCACCCTGCCCCTGGAGCGGAGGCTTAGACTGCGTGAGAGTCATGGAGGAACGGGGCTGGTAGGGCAGGACTCGTGAGTACTTGCTCGTAGAGGCAGAAAGGATGTAACACGAGGTGAAGACCATGTATCTCACACCCAGATTGAACCCATTTTTTTCTGAAAGTTCAGTGGGACTTGTTGGCTGATTTTTTATTTTTTTTTACCTCCTAAAATTTTCACGGCCAGCTTTATGAAAGTCTAGAGTAACGTTACATTTGTGCCAGCTTTCCAGACGAGCCTGTGGAGGAAAGGCACATAACTATAGATGGGTAAACATGGGGAGAACAAAAGGCAAAAATAGTGGATAAGCTGTTGAACAATAGAATCAATTCAGTAGGAGCAGTGTAGATGCCAGATGAGCGTAGCTTTTGTAAAGATAAGTTCTGCCAAGGCTTCATTCCTTGGTGAGCTTCCAAGGCGTAGCTCTGCCTAGACTTTTGTGAAATGCTTGGCTTGACGTTGATGTTCTGCTCTGATACAGTTTTGAGAAGGAATGTGCCCCGTGAGCTGAAGGTCAGGTACGTGGCAGAGCTCTCATGGAGCCGGGAACGCGTCGGGGCGGGCCGTGCCGTGCGGCACGCTGTTATGAGCGGGAAGGACGTATGAAATGGCTTCGGGGGCTTGCCTAGGGGCAGTGATGGGAGGGGTGAGGATGAGCAGCGATGGGAGAAGGACGGGTATATTGTTTATATCGCTGGATGCGGCTGGGCTGGGATAAAATATCCTTGTGTGCAGTTCTGGCGTGGTACCTGCGTGCAGAAACCGCATCCAGGAGCAAAGAGAAGGGTGTACCCTGGGGAGCGGTGCCTTTGGAAAGAATCTGGGGTTGCTGTAGGTCGTCCCCTTGAATTTACCTTCCAGGGAGACCCTGAGGCTTTCTGGAGAGAGGATTAGCTTTGGTGAAGCTGCCGTGAGAAGGGTTGTTGCCAGTTTTAGGTGTTGGAATGGGCTGCCCAGGGCAGGGGGGAGTACCGGGATCCCTGGGGGGGTTGAAGAGTCGGGCTGAGCCAGCGCTGAGGGATCTGGGGGAGTTGGGAACGGTCAGGGGGAGGGTCATGGTGGGGCTGGAGAAGCTGCGAGGGATTTTCCAACCCAGATGATCCTGGGATTCTGTGATTCAGTTGCGTTGTGTCCGCAGAAGTCGCTTCACCGCTGGGGAAGGCTCAGAAAAGCCGTGGGAGCAGCGAGGAGCGATGAGCCCAGAGCTGCTTTTGGTGAGATTAGTCGAGGAAGAGGTCGTTTAGGAGAAGCTTATATTCAGCAACAGGAATTCTGGCTGGAATTTTGACCTCAACACACCTTGCCTGAAGACAGGCAAGGATTCTTGGCAGGATCAAAGCGAGGTGCTGGCGTTACCAATCCCTCTGCAGTATCACAGCTGGCTGTCTCTCCAAAAGACACTTGTTAGCCCAGGAATCGCTGGGTCAGCGTAAGAGTGCCCAAGTGAAGCGAGGTTTTGCCACTTAGGAGCCAAAACACGACTAGTGGGTGGTCGCTGGGTGCCGGAGGCTCAGCTGCTTCCTCCAGCGCTGCTGGTTTTCACTTGAGCATCAGGCTGAGCCGCCTGTTACTGCAGTCAGAGGAGCTTTGGGCTGGGTTTTAGCAAATTCCTTCCTCGTCACGGTTTCCACTAGTATTTATTAACTAATGAGGCTGTTTTCTGACCCTTTGCGTGGACTAACGGAGGTTTGAAGGAGGCCAGCTCTTGGGGGGAGGACTGTGTGCCCCAGCTCAGGGTTGTGCCTGAGCCCAGGGGTGTCCCGGTCAACCACTGAGTTCCCGCAGAACCCTCGGTACCCCTCCACTCCTCTGGTAGCAGCATTTCTCTGGTGGTTCGTGAGCCGCCGTGTCTGTTCCTTGTGGGGTCTCCTACCTCGGGGCGGAGGAGACCAGACCTATTTTGGGATGTTGGTTTCTGCCTGGTCAAGCCATCAGTAATTCAGCTGAGCTGTGGTGCTGCTCTTAGGCAGAGTCTAAGTCACCAGAGGGCTGTGCTCATCCTCCCCTTTATTTCCCTTTCCTCCCAGGGATTATTTCACCGCTTTTGATGCGCTTTGTTTGAATGTTCATAGCACAATTTACTACAGGCAAACAGCTGTATCTCCTCCTGCTCAGGGATTTCAGTCAATCAGCCACAGATTTAGGTTTTTAGGCAGTTTGATGGTTCTGGTTCCAGCCTTTGTGACGACACCGTGTCGGGAGGTGAAAACTTCCCGTTTGATTTCTGTGCAGGAGGCAAGCTCAGTACCAACGTGCTTCATGAGCAAGGACATTTCTTTAGTAGAGGGGTGATCAGCCTGCAGTGGGAACAGAAATCACCTGCCTTGCCGTGTCCACCTGATTTTGCTTCTGTCTACAGCAGGATGGGTTCAAAAAAACCAAACAAAGAAACGCCCACCAGCACTGGGGAAAAGACAGCTCTTCTGTCTCTGTTCTCCGGGCTGGGTTCACCAAGCTCCGCTCTTTCCTGGGGAAGTTGCATAATTGGTTTCCATTCTTTACCCACAACCCTCGTTTCAGTATGACGTGGGTTTGGGTTTTGGGGTGGGTTGGGTTTTTTTTTGGAAAAAAAACCCACAACACAACTTTAAATATTCCTGCAGACAGTCGTTCGCTCACAGCAAATCTGCTCTGAGCTTCAGCTGAGCAACGTCGAGTGTCTGGAGCTATAAAAATGTTGTGATCGATTTGGTGTTTGGCCAAGAAGTATTGGAGAGCCTGAACTTGGGGGCTTTTTTGTTTGGTTTTATTTTATTTTTTTTTCCCCTGGGACTGGAGCATGGGTACGTGGAGTGGTTTCACTGTTGCTTATTATGGCGGCTTCAACTTGTATTCTCCTCGGGAATAGAAGTTGGGTCTGAAATCTTTCTGCCTCTGCATGAGTGATGGTCAGGTGAGGGGCCGCGGTTGTCTCCCGGCAGAAGATTAACCCTGACCTAATGCATTCAAACATTAACCTTGTGTTTTTGTTTTCAGTGGGACTTCTCCTCTTGCATGCCTGAATGCTATGTTACATACAAACTCCCGAGGGGAAGAGGGCATTTTCTATAAGGTCCCGGGGCGCATGGGAGTGTACACGCTGAAGGTAAGTCTCTCGGCTGGGGAATTTTGTTTGCTCAGGGGACTTCTATCTGTTTAAAAATACATTGGATTAGGATAACCCCGAAGGGGGAACTGTTCCTCAGCAGCATGAACTGCAGCATAAACTCACCCTTCAAATGCGAACACTGAGTCTTCGTGCTCTCAAGAGCACCGGGGGCACTGAAAGCACAACGGAAAGTGCTGGGTTTTATTCGTGGCGGTGTACTTTGCAGATATTAATTCCTATCCCAGATTTGAAGGAGTAAATGAAATTGTAACGAAATTTTAGACTTGAAAGAATGACTCGTCATCATCAGCGATCTCAACTTTTATCTAGAAATGACAAGTTGCCTTATCCTCAGTCTGTAACTAGTAGGCAGAGAGCATTTATAAGGAAAAGGTGTGGATTCCTTAATTTATCTGTTTGGCATCTTTAAAAATAATCTTGATTTGAAACCTTTTACCCCAGTTAAACTACCAGAAGGGAGCCTGCTCACCCTGTTCTTGATTTGCTGTGAATTTGACTCTGAAGGCTGTGCCATAAGATAGGATTCCTCTCCCTAGTGTAGCCCTCCTCAGTGTGGGTGTCTCTGCTAGAACCGCTTCCCTCATCTCACTCCACGCTCAATAGAGAGAAATAGTAACTGTTAAGATGAGATTTATCTCATCCAAAAATTTTAAAACTTAGGAGAATCTGTGCTTTACAAGTGCCAGTTAAATTACCAATGGAGTCAACTAAGAATTGCCTTGAAAAAGATGTCCTCGCTCTCATCATCAAACACCTAGCTGGGCTGAGTCCCCCTCTCACCGTTTCCCTCCCTCTGCCCTGTAAACTGGGAAAGCCCGTTATTCCTCCAGCACTTGTGTGTAACGTGGCAGCAGAGGACGTCCCTCTGGGAGCCGTGCAGTGGGGCTGGCCTGCCCTCAGAGTAAAACATCTTCAGAGCTTCCAAAAATGCCATTGCAAGAGATCCAGCAAACTTCTTTCTTTGATCATCATCGTGCCAAGCAGGGGTTGACCTGATTTCAGTGCATTGAAGCGGAAGGACGTGAAACACCATTTTGATAACACACATGGTTAAGGTAAGGACTATCCAAGATACACCCGACAATGAAGGGAAGATAATTTTCTTTTAGCTGATAAACTGGACTGAGTCTTGCACAATTTGCTTCTTTGCAGAGAAGTGTGAAGTTTTACCTTCTAGGAATAAAGAATGCAGACTGGGAAAACGGTGTCTTTTCAGAACGTTAGGACTTGGGAAAAGATCTAGAATGAGTAGCAGACAAGTAATTGGGCAACTGTCAATCTGTGTCCTGAGGTGGCAAAACTGTGCTGAGAGTTCTCAGAGGAGAACAAAGCTCAAGATGTGAAAAAAATGCCTCTTGCAAGCACGTTGTTAGGGAGGTAGGTCATAGGCAATCTCCACATCTAGGGGTTAAATTTAAGCAAAGTCCAGTTTAATTGTGAAGTTTGAGCACAAAAGAGGCTGCCAGGGTGACTGCTGTAGTTCAGTTTTCCTCATGAAGCCTGCAAGTTAAAACTATCTTTCTTCATGTTAAGCTTCAGCAAAACTTCAGTATTATTTAACATAACATAGGAGTAAGCTGGTTAAATGTAATGATTTGTATTAATTAGGAGGCTAGACTAGGTGCTGAGTTACTCACAGGATCATCCGGGCTGGAAAAGCCCTCGCAGCTCCTCCAGCCCCACCATGACCCTCCCCCTGACCGTTCCCAACTCCCCCAGATCCCTCAGCGCTGGCTCAGCCAAATTCCAAAGGGTTGTTGTGTCCCGTGTGTCTAAAACCACAGCGGTTCCGTTTCCTTCCATGGGGCTGTGTAGTTGGGAGCACTGAGAAGGCCAGTACGGAAGGACGGAGGGAGAGGTTCAGCCCTGCTGTGCCAGTCCCAGTCCCCTGTGCCACGTTTAGTCCCAGCAC